AGGGCACTCCTAAGCAAGGCTACGGAGAGAAATGCTGCTGGTTTGTGGCTCTACTGCTCCCATTTAAATCACCTGTAACAGCCTAGTCTAATTATTTTTCCCCACAGGAAAAAGGCTCCAATACAGAAAAATCCAATGAAGTTTAGAATTAAGATCATTATTTACAGAGAAGACAGCTAGACTTAGTAATTTATCCTTGGAAGAGGGGAAGTTCTCGGTGCTGGGAGTGGGGAGAAAAGCTGGGAATGACCAGGAGCTGGCAGAAGAGCCTCCTAGGACCTAACTCAAGTTCATGTGAAACCTTTAGTAGTAGTCATCTTTGTCTGCAGGCTGTGCTTTAGGAGAAAAAAAAAAATTATCTTATAAAAAGACATTGTTAAACTATCCTCTCCTGGGTTAAGAAGAATTTCAGAGGGCTACTGTTACAAATACTTCATTGGTTTCCAGGACATTTTTACTACTATATTTAATTTACTTATATGGAACTGTCTCAGTAAGAGAACAGCCAGAATACATTAAAAACGCTGACTGTTTTTCAGAGGAAAACTGAACTTGTTTTTCATTTCATAGAATCATAGAATGGTTTGGTTGGAAGGGGCCTTAAAGTCCACCCAGTTCCAACCCCCGGTCATGGACAGGGACACCTCCCACCAGACCAGGTTGCTCACAGCCCCATCCAACCTGGCCTTGAACACTCCCAGGGATGGGGCATCCACAGCTTCTCTGGGCAACCTCTGCCACTGCCTCACCACCCTCACCGGGAAGAATTTCTTCCTTATACCTCACCTAAATCTTCCCTCTTCCAGTTTAAAGTTCAATAAGGAGCTCCTTGTTCATCCATGCAGGCATCCTGCTGCCCTTGCTTGCTTTCCTACTTGTTGGGATGGAGAATGCTCTTGGGCTTGGACAAGGTGATCCTTGAATATCAATATGCTCTCCTAGATCCCTCTTCTCTCCAGGGCCGTATCTCACAGGATTCTCTCAAGCAGATACCTGAAGAGGCTAAAGTCTGCTATCCTAAAGTCCAGGGTTGTGATCCTGCTTTTTGACATGCTCCTTCCCCTTAGGATCCTAAAATTCACCATCTCAGCCAAATAAGCCAATAACAATAACCATATTGTAGCTCCCCAAGTTGTTCAAGACTGCAATTTTTCTGAGGATTTCCAGATTAACCTCCACTACTCCACTACCATTCAGCCTTCGGTTTCAGCAATTCCTCTTGTGAAAAAGCAACAGATAACTACAGATTTTGGAAGTGACTTAGCCACTAAAGTAAGTTCCAAAGGAGATAGCTGCGAACCGTTTGCAGTCCAGCAGCATAAGCCTAAAATCTACTGCTCAAATCAGTCACCAAATTAATTTCTTTCTCCGAATAAAAAAAAAGAAATCCAAGCAAAGACATTTTGCTGCTTTCTCCTGCTCTCTTTGTATTAATGCAATGAGACTGTACTTTTCTTACACCAATAGCAAACCTTACATATCGTAAGCAATTGCACTGAAGTTCTTCCACGCTCAGGGACAGGCTATATATTCAGATATTTTGAAAGTAGCCAGTGAATGGCACTGATTAAGAAAATGCTTTTATTTTTCTTTTCTCTGAACTAGTTTTTCCCCAAATCCACAATTAGAAGTTTATAATACTCTCTTCACAGTGGAAAGCAAAGTACTTGAAGTAACCAGCATAATCCTCTCACAGGAAGTAGAGCCTTTGGGACAAGAAATCTCAGACAAAGCTGTATTACCCTGGTGCTTCACTGATAAACAAATACAAAACTCCATTACCATTAGCTGTTTGCAGACTTTTAAAGTTACAGCTAGTGGTTTTCAACAGATGGTGGCCAAGATACTCCACAGGAAAAAAATAGCCCTAAGAAATAATACCCCTCCAGCCTCTTTCTTCTGTCTCCACCTGTCATTCTAAGAAATCTACTTAGATAAGGTAAGGAGCAAAAAGACACAAAGGTAGCAGAATTGAATAAGAGTCTTCCTTTCCCCCAGAAAGTACTTAAGTTACCCTTTCAGCATAACAAAGAAAAACCTTCTGCAAAATATGCTTTGGATTGTTTATAAATCCAGCTTATCATCCTTGTCTATCTCCACACCTGATTACATTCAACTCTTTAGTTTCCTTCTTCCAAACCAAAGGATACAGGAAAGTTCCTCCTGCATCAAGAAATCTAGCTCCTTGCCGAAATACCCAGTAGCGTAACCACACGTTCTTCTGTTGCGCAGGCTTCCAATGTATCTTTAAACTACCTTGCAATGAATATGCTCTGATGTCCCACCTCTGAATGGAAAGGAGGAGAGTTTTCTTAAGGTCTTAACGTCTAAAAATGTATTTTATTCCTCTTCCATCTTGTACAATGCAAACTATATTAACAAATTCCTAGAGCCACTTTGTCTATAAATAGTTCTAGGAATTCAGGAATTTTTTTTGCCAACATTACAGTAAGAAGTAGAAATCTCACCCTGACGTTGAAGCAATAAGGAAAACATTTCATCCCTCACTGGTTCCAAACTAAGCTAATACAAGTCTTGAGCTGAAAGAGGTGTCATATAATTAACTAAATAATTATGTAAAAACGAAAACTCTATTATTTCATAACTCATCCATATTTTACAGCTCTACTCTTAAAAAATGCTGTTGCTTAAGCAACAATAATCTGCCTCATAACAAGACCATAGAAATAGTTAGCATTTCAGTTATCTTCAGAATAGACTCAAGTTACAGCGAAGAAATTAGCTTCCTCCTCCCTCTAATTCTTTAACATCTAAGAATTCCCTCTAGTACTTCCATATTCAATAAATCAGAATTGGCTGAAATATGGATTTCTTCAGCAGGTATCACCCTACAGTTGAAAGAAAGTAATCATCACTTGCCCCAGGGACCAGTGCCTATATGATGTTTTCATTGACGTAAGCCTTCTTCCAAGAAAAGCTCATATTAATAGTGGTAAAAGACGCTTTATGTTTTTCAAAGTCCTAAGCAGAGACAGACCAACTTGATCTGTAACATCAGGAGAGAGAGTGAGAGGAGTCATCTGCCTTTTCTCTGAGGGAAAGTTAGCCAGTAGATCCTGTTCTGAGTGTCTAGGCAGTACTAAACACAAAATGGTCTTGGACTGCAAAACTGAATGCCTTTTAGTTCAGCAATGTATTTCTTCAGCACATTGTAAAGTGTCTTCAGGTTACAGAATTATTAAAATATTCTGAACACACACAGAACTACATACACCGCTGCTTCTTTCACCCGCCCAGCTTCCACAGAACATGGGTGCGGTTTGGGAAGTTTTTGGTGTTGGGGGTGGTGGTTGTAGGGCAGATTTTAAGTGTCAAAAGAACTACTCATGACATTTTAAGGTGGCCTCTTTCCAGGCTGATAATCTTTATTTAATCAGTAAACATTACCTTCTTTGTTACCTACCTAAGCCTTTAAATACAACATTAACTATTAATGCATTAACTATGTTTGCTTATCTTTATGGAAAATGATTGATTCTGCTTGTTTCTGTATGACAAAAAGTTCGTATTTCTTTTTCAACTATTTCACTTTTACCTTTTTCACATTTCTAGTATTTGACCAACCTGAAATTTCACTGAGGCAAACAGTGATTTGCTACGTTATCTCAGGTTATACAGTTTTGTAATAAAGTCTGAAGAAAAGCAGAATGTCATTTGAGGAAGAATTACAGGAAGAACCATTGAGAGGATTCAAGCAACTTACACAGTAGTTGTGAAATTTCCCAGGCTGTACGGAGTTTTGCACCAAGCTTCATCAATAAAATAAAAGTTAAAACTGAAATGGTGACACATCAGAGGAAAAAAAATAATTTGACACCCTCTCCTTCCTCATGATGTTGTGCCCAGGTGTGACAGAACCATACCACAGTGCTATCACGACAACAGGAAAGTCTCCTTTGGACTATTCTACTCATCATCTCCATAGCAGTACAATTTAAAAGAACAATAATCAAAGAAAAAAAACAAACAAAAAACCCTCAATGCTGTCAAAACCGACTTCATAGTAACAAGAATATAATCTAGTACTGATGCTAAAAAAGCATTTCTTATTTTCTCCAAAGGCAGAAATATTAGCAAAAAGGTCACTGGGTAGATTCTGTGTAAAGTAACTGACAGCAATGCAGCCACCTCTCAAATCCACAAGTGACCTTGACCTTACAGTGACAAGCACTTTAAAAGGATAGTAGTTTTATCTGCTAGGTCTCTTCATACAGAATCACTGTGGGCAGTACACTAAACACAAAACGGTTGTTTGTTCAGTTCATGAACATCATGAGTTTGTAATGCCTCACATTGCATTGCACACCCGAATGCTCTACTTCAATGCAATACTACTAGATTATAAAAAGCTTTAGGCACAATCCTAACACACATTTCAACAGCCCTCAGCGTAGTGACAGCATTAAAACAAGGTAAATATTTCATCAAGTAAGCGCACTCCTTCTGCAATGCAAGAAATTCTTGCGTTACAGGATTTTACTCACTATCCACCACTTTGACAGTAACACACGTTTTCAGTCACAAAATAAACATTTAAAGATCAAATTCTACCTTCATATACAAACACCTAATTCCCACCAACTTTGAAGGAATGATGGGCACTACTGTGCTCAAAAGTGTGCAATTTCTGAATCTGTTTTTTCTCCTAAGACATGTGTAATAAAAATACAATTAAAGCTGTTTCTTATTTTGCTATGAAATTTCTCTGTACTTATCAAAACAAACAAGGAATGAGGAGAACAAACTGCTCTCAGGTACTGAGGAAGAGTAAGCCATCGTTAGCCTGACATAAAATACATTATTAGCAAGTGGACTTGTATTATTTAGAAAGCATTTTAAGAAAAGCTCATGTTTGAATAACTTCCATGCTTGCATACTTTAAAGAAAACATTTAGATAATCTTTATGTTACTTAATTCAGAGAAAATAAAATATTGAATAATAATGTCAGTAAAAATACTTTCATTTATGTACACTTACTGCAATCTCTCTACAGGCCGACATGGATATCCCTGTACCTTCAATTTGCTTCAGTGCATATTCTTTTTCATCTTTTCTGTACATAAAAAAAAAAAAAAAAAGAAAAAACAGAGAGAGGAATATTTTTAGGTCTGACTTATATTATACCAATCAATACAAGTATAATGATTTATTTTCATTTGGTCTGGATTAAGAAGCTGAAAAGGTAATCTGGTTTTATGCATAAAATTACACTTAGATAATAAAAGCAACTTTCTTTTCAATACAGAGTTCAATAATTCCAAACAAAAAGTCCCACATAAAGAAACATTGTTATCCTGTATCTACTTCTCTCTGAAACCATACAGGCAACTGCAAGTATGTCTACAGAGACTTTTGGAGGACACTTTTGCTGAAATTCCAGGGTACTGTCTACTACCATGAAAAAGCCACGCAGTCATATCCCATGCCTGGAAAACTCTTCTAGAAATACCTAGGAACTGCAAATTCTTACTTGATTTTTACGAGCCACTGTCAATCCACTTTCACTTCTGACATACTATTATTTTAAACTAATTATACTTGTAAGTGCTGGCTACCGACAGAGCCCTACGTGGTCTACGAAACTATGTGCTCTGAAGTACAAAGCTGGAGAACATGAAAGTGTTCAGTCCAAACACAGTACTATCCTTTTAAATAGTCACAGTTTGACGTGATCTAGAGGGAAGAGCAACAGAACAAGAAAACGAAGTAGTATGTTGAAGCTCTCGCGATACAACATAACCCGCTTACTGCCTTCGCAAGGCTTTGCAGGATCCAGCTACCATCCATAGATGTCGGTAAGCACCGATACCCATAGCGCTGGTGCACTTCTGCAGACTCACCAGTTACAATTCAACAGCCCACAGGCCCCCATCCAAACTCCCTCTGGCATTTCTGGTAGACTTCAGTTTCCCCTTCTTCCAGTCCCAAACCACTGCGTTTTGCTATGCTGAAAAATTAACTTGAGGTCATTTCAGCCTCTCTGGCTTTTAACCCCAGGCCTGTGTCCTGTCCAACCCCAGCCTCTTTCCTACCCTCCTCCAGATCTCCCATCGCTGAAATTCATGGGATAAGAAGTGGCCGAGTGGAGGAACATGGGGAGAGCATGAGATTGACCAGAAATTATAACTGCCTGCACATACTAGTAACTACAGGTCACCATTACTCTCAGTAATTTTCAGTAGCAGCTAAACCCACGATGCACACCTACAGTTAACATTGTGCTTGGCTGCCATTTTGCACTACCTTTTTTGAAGCAAAAACATGACAAGGAAAATTCCAGATGTAATTCTGACTACATATGAAAACTCAGTGCGCTGCAAGTTTTGTAAAAAGTAAACCCAGCTTTGAAGTAGGAGTCGCTCAGCAGCTGTTCCAACTGGGAAACCCGAGTTCTGGCGCTGCACCTTAGCTCAGAAATAGTTGTTATTCCTCTCTCAAACAAGCCCTTACTCGAAGTCTCCAGAAATCTTTGAAAAGGTATTCCCTCCAAATTAAAAAACAGAGAAATTCAGTTGTAACGGGATTACAATCTGCTTTATTTCAAGCAGGGTGTTTCAGCATGTTTGGGATTTGGTGCAATGCTGAGCTGTAAGGATGCTATGTGTCAGGCTACAGGCTCGAAGGGCCTCTTTCTCCAGCCCGGTTTGGATTAACAGAAGATCCTTCTGTAGCTGAAACTAAAGGAATGGGTTACTTTGAGGTGACCTAAACGATTTTGGAACTGGCAAAGAGAGAAACACATTCTCATTCTGCACAGATTTCCCGAGGAGAAATGGGAAGGACAGCAACTTACAACATGCCTTGCAACTACCCCCAAAACATTCACCCATTCAGATATTTAGATGCAAATCTTGACCAACACGTATGACAAACGAGCATAACAAGATTGGACCCTTCTCTTCTAAAACAAACTTTTACTCTTCTATGCTAATTAAAATGAAATAGCCTCATATCACAGTATTTTAAACATACAATTTCTGAACCTGTACTGGGGGGGAACACCCAAAACTTTTCAAGGGCAAAAGAAAGCCCTCAAAAGTAGTTATCTCTACCAAAATTAGGCCAAACACTGCCTTAACAGCTTGTAAGAGCTGTTCACCAAGTACACTTTCAGGAGTAACTTCAGAAGTGGACACGTCTGCTTCCTAAGCAGGATTCACCAGGATCTACTGACACAGTAACTGTGATTCCTTCTTTGCTCCCCATGGAGCAGACCTTTATTTTCATGAATTAGTCACAATAACTTGGCTCAAGATGCAGATGCAGCACCAAGAAATGTGTAACTTTACAGGTAATAAGCTCATATCTTATCTCACAGAAATTGCTTTTGATTTCATTAATTTGCCCAGATTTTAAAGAGTATATAATAAATGCCCATCCCCTCTCCTACATGGTTTTATCTACGCAGAAGACTTACATAAACCTCAAAGTATTAACTCCGTAACTCGGATCGCTTACTGAGACTGTGAAGACAAAACTATATTGTCTGCAGAACCAAAACCGGCTCCACACATTTAAAAATCAGTCATGGCTTTTAAACTACAGCCATGTTTAAACTATGCGGTACAGAACAATCCCATGCACGCATATCAGCTTGAATCCCAAAACAAGGTAGTCACTACAGCACCGCAGCATAACCTTCTTTTGGGCACATCGTCCCACTGACACAGCTACCCTGGAACCAGTCCTACAGACACAAGCGCTGCATCCAGTCACTGAGACCTTCACAGACTGAAGGTCAGGGCAGAGACCGGCCGTGCCACTTGGCACACGCTGCCTTCAACAGCTCTGCTTAACACCACCACCAGTCTGCCACCACTCAACAGCCAGCTGCTCTGCGTAGGATTTTAGGATACAAATGAGAAATTATGAAAGATGTTAAATAAAAATAAACAACCCAACAACTTAAGGTATTACAGCTTGTGGGAAAAGGCGGCAGTCTTACTGAGTTGCAAACAAGGTACTTCTAGGACACTTAGTTTTGTGAACATTGAGCAAAAACTGGGATAATGAAATACTTACCTAAAATAAATGGGTATCAAGGATAAAGAACGCCAAAGATACCATAATTCTAGTTTTCACAAAATGTTTTTTTACCAACAGCTTCGGAATCGTAAACATAGGCCCTTTAATACATAAATACCATTTACTTGCTTTGGCAGAAATGCCAGTCTATATCAATACTTTTCCAAAGTTAACTGTTCTTATTATGCAAACATAATAGCTGTTTAAAGCACTTTCCAAGAGATCTCCACCAAGTGGTATTTTAACTAACAGTATTTCCCATTTAATAGTAATCTCAAGATAATTTGAGAAAGAAAGAAAATATATTTAAAACCCCAATACCGAGTCAGTGAATGCAATCTGATGAAATACACAATTCTGGTTACTCAATAAAATGGTATTAACTGGCTAAAGGAAAAAAAAAAATAGGCACTTTATTAGTTATTTCCCCACTTGTAAGAATTCATTAATGTCAAATGGTATGTGTGATAGGTAAGTAAACTGTTCAACTCCCTAAAGACCTATGCTCTTACAAAACACTTGAGGCAGGGGGAAGTATTTCTACTTCGTGTTGAATATACAGAAAAGCTCTAGGGAACTCTCAATACATTTCAAGAACTTGTACAGAATTATACAGCAGGAAAGTTTTCATAAATCCTTTTCTGACAGATCCTATATGAGTACATTTTTCACTAGAGAGCAGAGAAAGCATGATTAAGTTGAAAATCCAAACCCAAACAACAACAAACTACACAGCTCTGGTATGAGGCAAAAGGCACCCATGCTAGGGACAGCCAAGCAGAAGCGAGGTCTTTCTCCATAACCATTCCCGCCTGGTCCACAGCAATACCGGCTGGGGAGCAGGCCAACTAACTTGAAGGTCCTGCTACGTGGGGGCTTGTCTGAAGGCAGGGAGCAAGTGGCACAGACCAAGGTTTAATCGAGCAGGTTCTACCAAACAGCCACCCCAGGCTAACGGTGGCAATGTGCTCACTGAATCCCAGTGAAAAACACAGCAAAACAGAACTGAAAGGGAACTCTATTCCTTAAGAGGCTGTGACTTACCAATTTTTAATAAAGCTTTTCCAAATCAATTCAGAATTTGCCTGATAAAATGAGTACCATGTCATACGACCACCAGGCTTCTCCACGCTTCAAGTTCCCTTATCCAAAACTAGGGGTAAAGATTAAAATCAATGTTGTTTCTAGTTCCAGAAGCATTAAAATTCATGCTATTTTAAGAGGGATTAACTTTTTACAAAAATGAAACTGTTGATATGAGATACCCCCATCCTGAAAACTTCCTGACTCTGTATTTCAGATTGCCATAGGCAGCACTGAAATGCAAGGCTCCTCACGCCTACCAGCAATAATTGAGAGCATCCCTCTGCTATAAAAGTCTGTACCAGCGTAAGGCTGTAACTTGGTCTCCGAGATGAAGCTTTTCTCCCTCACCAATTAATATCCCATTCTGCAATCCTTAAGGTTAATGTTAACATTTTAACTTGTACAGTGCAGAGGAAAATTCTGTCCTCTTGCCCTGAAAAAAATTTTACTCAGCTGGCTTGTGCCCAACTGCTGTATTCAATGCAGAAAATGCAAATATGATTACTACTTCTTCTGGGTAACGCTTTCAGTTTTGTTTTCCAAATGCTTTGAAAAGAATAAAGTACCAAACTCACTTTAGAAGGGTGCAATTCAGAAGACTTAGATTGAAATATTTCAAAGGAGTTAAACTGTCTTAACTATTGCAATTGTACTTCAGAGTGCTCTCATCATACGAGAAACTACTTAACAAACAAGTCAGTAGAAAACTAGAAACAATTTGCCCAAGACCGTAAGAAAAACAAGAAGATTTGAAAATAGTGCATGGTTCAAATGATTGTTTTATCCCTGTTATTCAAATTTTCAAATTTTTAATGATAGTCCCTCTTGAATTCACAGATAATTTAACATACATCTCAACTTCAGAATTAATTATCCACACCAAGGAACCGGCTTGAAAAGACTGCGATCACACTGAAGCTACAACTATGACTATCACATCAGTTAATACAGATATTAACATTACAGTATATACCAATAACAACTTTCTTCAATTAAGTGCACAAGATCATAAATAAAAATAAATAACAATTAAAGTGCACATTTTCTCAAACAAATGAAGTGGACCACAAAAACATTGCAAGACCTAGCCAGAAAAACCTCATAAAAAACCAATTCACCCTTGTAAGCAACACCAATGGACTTCAAACATTTGTGACTTTGTAGGACAAAGCCTGGGAATACTACAGAGTTCAGCGTCCTTCAAACACAGTACTGCCTGAACACAACATTCATACAGACACCTGGTTACGCTCTAATCACTTGGTTTAACTTTATGCCACACAGCATAAAGTTGGTGATCTCCTGCTGAGTGATTAACAAGAGTTACAAAGGTCTCGCCCCCCCACCCCCAAGATAATGCAAAACCATGACACTGAAGTGCACCCAGCAGTTAACCGAAAAACCCTCCATGGTATCTGGAACACGCAGCAAAGCCGCTCAATCGATCGCATTCAGCCCTGGTTACCTTACACAAGCTGCTCACAGATTTAACTCTATACATAGCACATGGCCATAGCCCTTTACAAAGGTAACAGCACCAGTAAAAGTGTCTATGATCGACTGGAAAAAGGGACCTAATCCTTCCCCAAAAGTGATGAGTTCTTACACTGTAGTATTTTTTATGCATATAGAAATAATCACTAACCAAATGAATTACATGTTCTTCAACAGACTAGGAAAGTAATTTTCTTTTATCATTAACCTCAAACCATACTAAGCCTTACCCAGTCAGCAGCTCAGCCAGCTCCTTTTCATCCACGCAGCAACTAGCCACAAATGACAGAAGCTGGGGATCTACAAGTTGATCTTCATTTATTTCTAGAGAACGGTACACATGCTGAACTTCAATGCATACGTATTCGTTCATTTTGAGAGCTACATAAGAAACTCAAAATGTGAAATAGTAAGGATAGTAAGCAGAAATTTAAAAGAAATCTGTGACCACATCAGTCCTTTAAAAGGTTTGTCTTCCTTCACCTTCAAAGGCAGCTGTCTGCTGCTCTGCTAAAAAACTCCTCAGCAGCTACAGGTCGTTCCTACAGCCCAGCCCCGGACGAGTTCAATACAACATGGATACCCGAGTCACATTTGGCTGGTTTTGGCCATGAAAAGAACTGATGAAACCAGCAGACTTTTACCTCATTCCACTACAGTGAAAAGTTTACCATTTCAGTAATGTCTGTGAACTGTGTAGCTGGCCCGTCTGCTGAAGCATCCCTCAGAGGTTTGGTGGGAACCTTCTCGGTGTTGCCAACAGAAGAACAGATGTGTCTGGGGCACAGAAAAGGACTTCTCTAACAGAACGCGCAGACATGTATGTCACCTTATCTGCTCGAACCTGGGCCTGCACCTTCCTCTTAGCAGCAGGGTGGGAAGCCAGCCTCCCCAGCAGGCAACATCTATACAATCTTTAGAAGTTGAGCTTGCATCTTGTCTGGAACAAGATCTAAAGTAAACTTGGGGAGTGGGAGCAAGGCAACAAACCTACACCAAACAGGACAGACTTCACTATGCAATGTAAAAAGAGCTAGAGTGAAGAGAGAATCACCAAGGCTAATCCACGTACACACAAGGAAAATGCTTTTTGGAACGGAAACAATACGCTACATTTTAACACTGCGTTTCTGAATCTTTTGTCTCACAATGTCCTTATTTCAGTTTTCAAAAAGGGGCCTGAACGCTACACAGCCACACCATACCCACCAAACCCTGCCAGGTCTCCCTCCAAACGCCCTAGGCGACACCAGCTACCTCACCACGGACCCGCAGCAACTCCCGAAGGCACCACCTCTCTGTACCTTCTCCTGCCTCCAACACTTGAAGCCCACACATGAAGCCCTTCTGGAACCTATGAACACAGCAGAAATAAAAGGCAGAAGTTTCTGTCATCTTACATGGTACTCTTCTCAAAATGCAACAATCCCATATCCCTGAACACTAAGCATAGTTTCCTACTCCATTTTACAGTGATTTATAGACTTACCCATGTCAGGTACTTGCACAAATGCATGCCCAAAAGGCAGCTAACTCAGGACTCACAACAGAATCTGTGCATTTTCAAAACAATTTTTTTTTTTGGTTGGTTAGTTGGTTTGGAAAAAAAAAACACCACACTTCCAACAAAAAAGGATAACTTTTTTGTTCGGTGAAATTATCATTCTAAAATTAAGTCTACTTAAATTGGCAGAGACATTCAAATACAGAGCAACTGACTACAACTACTAGCCTTTATTAAAAAAATCTGATTTTCATTACATACAATATGAGAAACATGCAGCAGAACAGTTACACAGAGCTTAGCCGGCAGGAAAATCTGGCACGTTCCACCTGTATAAGAGAGAGCATATTAAAAGCACCACTGGCATCATATTATGATTAGGCACTCAGTGTTATCACACTACCCTATCAGAAATTGAACTGTATCCAGATTTTGTTCTATTATCTATAGAATACCCCCAGATGTATCTCTAAAAACTGCTGTTGATATAGCTACCCTTCTGTTTGTTTACTTCTCCGTAAACCAGTCTACGAGCTCAGGAGGAAATGCGCATGTTAATCAAGGCAAGTTCTCAAAGCGATGCTAAGCTACTTGCCATTAAACACAACACCCTTATATTGTGCGATTCCACAGAGCCTCACAAAAGATGCTAAATACCTATATTAAAAAAAAAAAAAAACTTCACCTACCATAGGTGATGTGTTCTTTATGTATGAGACGATAAGTGATTAAAAAGACAACACAGTGAATCTGAGCACTGATAAGATTTTCTGATATTAAAAAAATTCCTTTGCCCAGCTATAATTTCATTAGACTGCGAGTGGGGAGTAGAGGTTTCTTAATATCAAGATGAGGAGACTGGAACTATTCCAACACCATTACACACAACCTATCTATATCCTCTTCCTTTTTTTCCAGTAGTTTCTAATTCAGAAAATTAAAAGCAAATCTTTGTAGCACAGATACCTTCTAACTGTTAACAACTGCTTCAGACTATTTCACAGTCACAACCACAGACAGATTTATTTTAATATTTCTGTAGTATCAGACCATTGGAAATCTTACTCACCTTTTTATTAAAATTTAGCTTTTACACTATAATAATAAAGCTTCATAAGGAAAGAGAGCACAACCCCAGTCACTGCCCCCTCACTCCTTATCTATTGATGAAGATTCACAGAGATCTCAGCCAGCTACAGGGTTGTGGCCATTGCTAAAATTAGACTGGCTCCAAAATATCTTGAGTGACTGAGAACTGTGAATTTCATGCAAGTATGGTTATTTTATAACAGATTGGCATAAGCAGACTTGACAGCCTGTTTATAAAGGTAAAAACTGAAGTGTTCACATTAAACCTTGAAAGCTGTAAAATTATTCTGCTGCTCCAGGTAATTTCTTCCAGCATTTGTTGTATCAAAGCAGGGGACAGAGCTGTAAACCACCTTATTTCTTTATAGACAGGCTTGATTACAGATAATTAATAGATTTAGGAAATACCTCCCTTCCAGAAAGGGTACCGCATGCGAGGATTTGTTACCTTAAAATAAGAAACAGCAGCAGCAAGAAGAAAAATACCTCTGAAATAAAGAGGAGACAAAGATTTATTTACCAGTGAATTATATACCAAGGCTACAGACATAGGGTCCTTTAGACTACGTCAAAAAGGAATCTACTGTTTGTTTCCTAAAATCACTTACAAGAAGAACACTTGTGACTAACAATAAATGTCAAGAACATCAGCTGTTTGTTTTCAGTAGTTTTAAAAGTACAGGTCCTAAAGCCATGGAGTAAAAACATACTGTAACTACATAGTCCAGCTTAATGTGTATCATGCCTTTTTCTCCGTAGTGCTAAATCTGGCTAAATACTGCAACTCTGATAAGTGGGAAATTACTATTAAATCACCAAACATTATGAAGTCTGCATTTCTTTTGGGTCTTTTTGGCGAAAACTCGTTTGAAACACCAAATGCAAATTTCTTCCTAAATCATTATAATGCATTAGATTCACTTATAGCAGAAGAAAAAAAATATTGACTCAGTGCAAGACCTGTCAGAAGGACAATAGCCTAAAAATCGCAGTTACTCAGTTTTCCTTTTCTAGCTCATGACACAATCAAATGCTTCCTCTAAAGCATGCAGAAAGCCCAGATTTATCAGAGAGACCTGTCGCACAATTTCTGTTCTTCTTTTCCTTCAGACTTCCCAACTCATATGATCTAGCGTGAAATCTTCAATTCTCATAGCCAGACCTACAGGAAAGCTTACTAACACAACGTGGATGTAATTCTTAGTTAGTAAGCTAGCCTTTAGGTACAAAAGCTTAAGTAAGCAGCAGGACCCAACATTCTGTATGGGCAGAGTGAGACAGAGCACATTTGTTACAGTTGGAAAGTTGCAGAGTTGAAAAGAAACACTCTCATCACAAGAAGGTATAAGGACCAGAATTAAATTCTACACCACCACCATGAGCTCTGATTTAATTCAATCCGAAATGAAAAAAAAAAAAGAAATCAGTATTGAAAAAGGAGCATCTCCAGTACCCGTTCTGTGATTTTACCGCCAACGCTGTTCAGATGTAGCATTCAGTCAACTTGAGCGCAAGTTTTGTTTCCTGACACACTCGTGCTATATGACTTCAGTAATGTAAGTTCTGCAGAATAACAATATGGGGAGAACGGTACCCAAATTATTGCTATATGAATACTGATTTAAGAGAATAAGCAGGCTACCTGCACCTCTGCTACACTTAAAAGTTTTCTGCCACCACAGCGGTCTCCGTCATAAGCGTGACCAGATGCAACCTCTGAACAACATAATGATATTAGCAGAAGCCCCAACCACAGCAAGTCGCCCCAGAAGAAAGCCTGTTTTTCCAATAGAGTCACGCCTCACAGCACGCTCTTTTTTCTCTCTTAATACCCCAACCACAGCAAGTCGCCCCAGGAGAAAGCCTGTTTTTCCAATAGAGTCACGTCTCACAGCACGCTCTTTTTTCTCTCTTAATCAATATTTTTCCACTTCTGCTTCAAACAAATAATATTCAAACAAAAAAAACAAACCCACACTAAACCAAACAAAGCATTACATGGCCAGGACCACAGCCAGCATTCCCAGGTTAGATCATACACTGGCCTTGCCTATGTACTTCGTCTTCCTTTCTCTTCCCATGCCCTAACTTCCACTCGACTCTTGCGTGGACTTGGATGCTGTAAGCACTTCGGATCCACCTTAAGAACTTCACATTAATGTGTCTGCACACCGGTATCAGCCCAAGGAGGAAAAGAGACTCTCCTCTTCAGTTACGAGCTCACAGTGTTCAAAAACGGTGGGGAGAGGGGGGAGAGAAGATTTCATTTGTCTCATCTCTCCTATGCCTGTACTGTACAGCGCTGGTTTTGGACTTGCATCACCGCTGCCCAGTTTCCAAAAGGGAATTCCATATTTGGCAGCTAAGGTGAAGCCTGTTTCATACCAATTCTCTTGTTTGAAAGTTACAGATACATTAACAACAAAGTAATCTGACATGTCACAAATAGTGACTTTCTTTAAATAAAAAAAAAGTCTATTACTATATTAGCATATAAATCTACACGCTTCATTCCGCTGATACATCGCACCGTACAGGGCAGTGCCAAACCTTTAACACGCGCTGAAGGGCAAGGTGGCAGGAGGGTCTGGCTGCCTGCCTGCCTGCCCACCGACGTACCGAGCAGGCGGCGAGCCTGCGAGCTGCCCAGGGTACAACCCCAGCCCCTTCGGCTGCCATCCTCCTGGGAGCCGATTACTCCCTATTTCTGTCATTCCCTCTGTAACAAGATTAAAAAGCATATAGTTGCTTTTTCAGAAGGTGTTTTGAAACATACAGATTAAAAAATATTACCTACATAGTTACTTGGAAAGAAAAAAGAAGTTTGTAATTTTATTTTAATAACCTCTGTTGCCCAAACCCAGGTAGTGAGTCAAAGAAAAATAACATAGCCATAGCGTGAGAGAAAGCAGCCAGCTCAAAGGTTTGCTTAAAGGCAAGCAGAAGCAGCAATAACCAGAAAGGTGGTGTTCACAGGAAGATTTCAGCTTTTGCAAGTGTTACACCTGCTGTCGCTGCTACAGAACAGAGTGGCCTATTTTCTGCCTGACTCCTGCATCCCATCACTCCTTGCGCGTTCCTGCATAACCAACAGTGGTGTCTTTTCAGCTTGCTAACTCGTCCAAACACCCTCCTGCAGGTGAGCTGAGGTCCTGGCAAAGGAACAGAAGTACTGTGTAGTGGCCTGGACCGACAGACTGATCTTTGCCAAAGAGTAAAGGGAAATAATTCAGTCATATGCAACAAACAAACAGGATTTCCAACCCTCGCTTCACCCTAAACATTGCCTCCCATGAGATAAGGAGATACAGGAAGGGAAACAACTGAGCACAACTTCGTGCTGAAGCTGTGGTCAAAGAAGCAGCAAGGAACGTAATGAGGAGAGGTAAGGCATAAAACAGAAATCACATTTTCCTAATCCATGATTGAAAAAAACTGCATTCATTGTTTTACTGGACAAATGCGAACAAGTGTCCAAAAACACATTAGCTAGAGTCAACATGACGTTTTGAGGTAGTACCCACACACAAAAATCGTAACAGATTTTCCAGCTACATAAAGAGCTAAAAACCTAACATTGACAACTGAATTGCAGTCATGAGGCTGCTGTCACTCCTTCCCCCCTCAAATCCACTTGTCCAGTTTTTGTGTACATGGAAATAAACCATTAGACAGCTTACAGAAAGAACCCTATTTTCTAGCCCTTCCGGACTACAAAGATATTAATGAAAGTTTTGTAAAACCCAGGTGTCTAATTTAGCTGAATGCATAATGCAGGTAACACTGCTCGACCTCATCAGAGCACACAAGCACTACTACAGTAAATGGAAGCTGCAGGTGCTCAACGTCTTTAAAACCATGCTCACGCAGTGCATGCAAATGTCACACCAACATTGTTTA